AAAAGAACAAAATTAGGTTGATTTAATTTACAGAGTTTTTTTTTGCTTTGTGCTTTGCTTTTATTTTGTTATGCATTTTTTTTATAAAGGGTAGGTAGGGAGGTTAGAGTAGGGGCTTTTTTGCGTGTTTGTGAGTGAGTGTGTGATTAAGTTTAGAAGAAAGAGGAGTATAGGAGAGTATAAGAATTTAGGGGTATTTTGCGATTGTTCTTGTTTTTTTGCTGTGTTTTTATTAAATGAGTAAATTGTCGTTGGTTTGTTTTGCTGCTGTTTTTAGTAACAGTTTAGGCCTTCGCCTTTACCTTCGTCTATAAAGTGTTGAGTGCTTTTTTTGGTTTTTAGTGAATTGTGTCGTGTTTTGAGGAAATAATAAAAAAAATTAAGAATAAATGCTATTTTTTCGTTTGATTGTTTGCAAAAAAGAAATTCTTTAAGAGTTTAATTATAAAAGCAATATAATTTATAAAAAAAAAGTTGAAAAAATTATAAATATTGTAAAAGAAAATGAAAGTTTTAGAACATTTTATGTTTTAATGGTGTTGTTGTCTGCTAAATTTTAGACGTTCGGTCGGTCGGTCAGTCGGTTTTCTTTAATTCTTGTGTCTAACGTCAAATTCCGTTTTTCGTAAGCAGCAACAACAGACAATCTCACCAAGTGCGTCGTTGGCCTACAGACCTAATTTCCTTTTAGTAGTGCACCATACACAGCTAATCATTCTATATACCCGAAAAAAAAAACCAACAACAAGAAACCTACAACAACAACAAAATTCAAAGCCGAGACAACTGGAATATCAAACGCAAAGAATAAACGACAAAAAATCAGATACATTTTCCTGCACAACGTTAAATGGCAAAAATCAAGGAAAATTATTAAAGAAAAAGTAAAAGTTTAAATAAATTATATGAATAATTTAAAAGAAAAATTATTAAAATTTTGCAAATATAAAAAATGTTTAACAAATTTAACATAAAAATCTAAAAATCTCTAAAAAAAACTGAAGCAAAAAAATCTTAAACAAGAACAAGCAAGCAACGGTATTTTTTCTCTTTTAAAAAGCAGAAAAAATAAAAATAATTAACTAAAAATTGTATATAAATTAAATAAAATTATAAATAAACAAAAATAAATAAAATTTTAAACAAAAATCTAAATACTAATTAAATTAAAACCAAAAAAAAGTATCTTTAAAAAAAACCTCTAAAAACCTCATCATTAACATCACAAATTTACTCTACTCTCCCTCTCTTTAAAATAATATAAATAAAAAAAAGAAAAACAAAAAAAGCTCTTTCTTATTATTTCACATGTTGCCTTCTACTTTAATTAAATAATTAAACAAAAATTAACTAAATTAAAAAAAAAGTGTTAACCCCTAAAAAACATAAAAAAAATCTTAATAACGTCAAACCAAATGCCAGAAATCTTCTTAAAAAAAGTTTAGTGTATTACTGTGTCGCCATCAACCGCCATTCTCATCATCATCATCTGTGAAACGTTGTTGTCGTAGTCGTCGTTTTCGTGTTTTATTAGTGTTTTGTTGTTGTTATTTTTTGCATATTTTTAATTCCTATTTTGTCGCTTACGCCGTGTGTTGTGTTGTTTTCTTTTCCCTCTACTGATTCTTTACCGTATTTGTTGTTGTTTTTTTTGCATTTTGTCAATTATCGTTGGTTTATTATGGCTTTGGTGTGCCAACTAAGTCCCGCTTTATGGTGGTTTTTTATTATAAATGCGGTTTAAATGCAGGTCGGCGTAATTTTTCAAGGAATTTAACTAAAGAAAAGGTAAGTTTTAGAAAAAAATTAAGATTTATTTATAGAATAGTTATATTGAAAAGAACTAGAACAGAACTTGATCAGAACATAAACAGAACTAGAACAGGACTGGAACACAACTAGAACAGAACTAGAACAGAACTATAACAGAACTAGAATAGAACTAGAACAGGACTAGAACAGAACTAGAACAGAACTAGAACTGAACTAGTACAGAACTAGAACAGAACTAGTACAGAACTAGAACAGAACTATAACAGAACTAGAATAGAACTAGAACAGAACTAGAACAGAACTAGAACAGTACTAGAACAGAACTAGGACAGAACTGGAACATTACTAGAACAGAACTAGGACAGAACTAGAACAGTACTAGAACAGAACTAGAACAGAACTAGAACAGAACTAGAACAGAACTAGAACAGAACTAGAACAGAACTAGAACAGAACTAGAACAGAACTAGAACAGAACTAGAACAGAACTAGAACAGAACTAGAGCAGAACAAGAACGGAACTAGAACTGAACTAGAACAGTACTTGAACAGAACTAGAACAGAACTAGAACAGAACTAGAACAGAACTAGAACAGAACTAGAACAGAACTAGAACAGAACTAGAACAGAACTAGAACAGAACTAGAACAGAACTAGAACAGAACTAGAACAGAACTAGAACAGAACTAGAACAGAACTAGAAGAAAACAGAACTAGAACAGAACTAGAACAGAACTAGAACAGAACTAGAACAGAACTAGAACAGAACTAGAACAGAACTAAAACAGAACTAGAACAGAAACTAGAACAGAACTAGAACAGAACTAGAAACAGAACTAGAACAGAACTAGAACAGAACTAGAACAGAACTAGAACAGAACTAGACAGAACTAGAACAGAACTAGAACAGAACAGAACTAGCTTACAGAACTAGAAGAACTAGAACACAACTAGAACAGAACTAGAACAGAACTAGAACAGTCCTAGAACAGAACTAGAACAGAACTAGAATAGAACTAGAACAGAACTAGAACAAAACTAGAACAGTCCTAGAACAGAACTAGAACAGAACTAGAACAGAACTAGAACAGAACTAGAACAGACACTGGAACAGAACTAGAACAGAACTAGAACAGAACTGGAACAGAACTAGAACAGAACTAGAACAGAACTAGAACAGAACTAGAACAGAACTAGAACTGAACTAGAACTGAACTAGAACTGAACTAGAACTGAACTAGAAACTGAGGTAGAACTGAGGTAGAACTGAGGTAGAACTGAGGTAACTAGAACTAGAATAGAACTAGAACTAGAACAGAACTAGAACAGAACTAGAACAGAACTAGAACAGAACTAGAACAGAACTATAACAGAACTAGAACAGAACTAGAACAGAACTAAAACAGAACTAGAACAGAAGTAGAACAGAACTAGAACAGAACTAGAACTAGAACAGAACTAGAACAGAACAGAACTAGAACAGAACTAGAACAGAACAAGAACAGAACTAGAACTGAACTAGAACAGAACTAGAACAGAACTAGAAAAGAACTAGAACTGAACTATAACAGAACTAGAACAGATTTACGTTTGCAATTAACTAGAACGCGAACCTGGTGTATATAAAACTGAAATATGTAGAACAGACCTATAACTGATTATATCTGAACTAGACTTGAACTAAATCTGAACTAGAACTTAACTAGTACTGAACTATTACTGTATTAGAGCAGAAATAGAACTGAACTAGAACTGACTTAGGAATCAACTAGAACTAAACTAGGACGGATTTAGAATTAAACTAGAACTGAACTAGAATTAAAATTAAGCTGAACTAGAACTTGAATTGATTTAGAAGAACTGAACACATTTTTTGAGAGTTGTGTAAGACAGACTAAAAATTTGTCCCAAAATACATTTTTTATATAGAAAAATTTCTGATAGTACACTTTTTCAATAAAATATATTGCGTATACGCACTGTAGCCCTTTAATATACAAAACAGTTACGAATAGGTACCTACCTGTTTTATAAATCATGACCCACCTAACCCACCTTCATTCAAACATTGCACAACTCAGTGTGACAAAAGAAAAAAACTTCATTTAGCACTAGTTCCCCTATGAATTAAATAAATGAAATGAACATATTCGCAGTTTGCACAACTGAAAAAAGAACAACAAAAACAACATATAATGTGTGTTTATGCCTTACTGACTGACTGACTTGCTCTTGCTACTACTACTGCAGTGTCGGGCCCGGCTGGCTGTCAGCCTACGAGAACACAAGCCAACAGCAACAGAACATTAAAAACCTCATACACCACCACTACCCACCTCTGCATCTAAAATACCCCCACGAATGGTAAAAAGAAACAAAAACAACATCTGCAAATTTACTTTTATAAAAGCAACAGCAGAAGAAAAGAACTCATAGTATAAATTATTTTCCATTGTGCTAGGAATTTGTAGATGAAATGAAAAAAATTGCACAAAAAATAAGCAAAAAGAACAACAAAGAACATTAAAAAAAGTGCGAAATAAAAAGAAACTAAAATTTACTTTAAAAATAAAATCTCACAGAGAAAATTAAATCATACCCACATACTTTTTTCTTCTACTATTTTATTGCATTTATGAAATACAATAATAATAACAACAACAACTAGACATCCCCTTACTTAACATATACTCATTCCTTGTTTTGTTGAATTAAAAGTTTTTTATTTATTCTCGTTGCCTTTTTTTTCTCGCCCAAAAGAGATTAAGTTTGTTAATGATCATTATCATCTTAATGATGACAATGACAGTGGAAGTGTTAGAGCGAATTACTAATAGTGCAAGCAAAAACAAAAAGCATGTGTTTTTTTGTTATTGTAGTTTTTGTTGTTGTTTTCTGTTATTTATTCAATATGGCATAAGTTTTAATGTTAGTCAAAATGGATGGATGAATGGTTTATTTGAAAAAAAAAAAAAATAAGACAAAGTGCAAAATAGAAATAACACAACTAGCTCTAGTTGCAAAAAAGTGTTGTCAATGGTGAATTTATAAAACTGAACCAAAGTATATTAATAAAGTAGCGACATCTCTTGTTGTACAACAACATCTACAACAACCACATGTATTTTGTTTTTGGAATAATTTAAGATTGTGTCAAAATAAAATTTCCTTGAAAAACAATGTGAACAAAACATAAATAAAAAATATTACTTTTAAGTTAAAGATATTAACGATTTAATTATATTATTATATATTATACAATTTATTACACTTTTAAACTACTTTAAAACCACTTTTAATTCACTTTTCACAAATTTTAACAAATAGCAAAACACAATTTAAAAATGGCGACGTAAACAATGTTAACAATTTTCAAAACAAACTTTGACAATTTTCTTCATTTATCAGTTTAAAAAAAATAGTCAGCTGTTCAAGTGATGCTACTTTATTAATATACTTTGAACTGAACTAGAAATAAAATAGAACTAAACCAGAACTGAACTAGGAACCAACTAGAACTGCACTAGAACCTAGAATTAAACTAGAATTGAACTAGAACTGAACTAGAACTGAACCTGAACTAGAACTAAACTATAACTGCACTAGAACTGAACTAGATCTGAACTAGAACTGAACTAGAACTGAACTAGAACTGAACTAGAACTGAACTAGAACTGAACTAGAACTGAACTAGAACTGAACTAGAACTAAACTAGAACTGAACTAGAACTGAACTGAACTAGAACTGAACTAGAACTGAACTAAAACTGAACTAGAACTGAACTAGAACTGAACTAGAATTAAACCAGAACTGAACTAAACTGAACTAGAACTGAACTAGAACTGAACTAGAACTGAACTAGAACTGAACTAGAACTGAACTAGAACTGAACTAGAACTGAACTAGAACTGAACTAGAACTGAACTAGAACTAAACTAGAACTGAACTAGAACTGAACTAGAACTGAACTAGAACTAAACTAGAACTGAACTAGAACTGAACTAGAACTGAACTAAAACTGAACTAGAACTGAACTAGAACTGAACTAGAATTAAACCAGAACTGAACTAGAACTAGAACTGAACTAGAACTGAACTAGAACTGAACTAGAACTGAACTAGAACTGAACTAGAACTAAACTAGAATTGAACTAGAACTGAACTAGAACTGAACTAGAACTAAACTAGAACTGAACTAGAACTGAACTAGTACTTAACTAGAACTGAACTAGAACTGAACTAGAAGTGAACTAGTACTGAACTAGAACTGAACTAGAATTGAATTAGAACTGAACTAGAACTGAACTAGAAACTAGAACTGAACTAGAACTGAAGTAGAACTGAACTAGAACTGAAGTAGAACTGAACTAGAACTGAACTAGAACTTAACTAGAACTGAACTAAAACTGAACTAGAACTGAACTAGAACTGAACTAGAATTAAACCAGAACTGAACTAGAACTGAACTAGAACTGAACTAGAACTGAACTAGAACTGAACTAGAACTGAACTAGAACTGAACTAGAACTGAACTAGAACTGAACTAGAACTGAACTAGAACTGAACTAGAACTGAACTAGAACTGAACTAGAACTGAACTAGAACTGAACTAGAACTGAACTAGAACTGAACTAGAACTAAACTAGAATTGAACTAGAACTGAACTAGAACTGAACTAGAACTGAACTAGAACTGAACTAGTACTTAACTAGAACTGAACTAGAACTGAACTAGAATTAAACCAGAACTGAACTAGAACTGAACTAGAACTGAACTAGTACTTAACTAGAACTGAACTAGAACTGAACTAGAACTAACTGAACTAGAACTGAACTAGAACTGAACTAGAACTGAACTAAAACTGAACTAGAACTGAACTAGAATTAAACCAGAACTGAACTAGAACTGAACTAGAACTGAACTAGAACTGAACTAGAACTGAACTAGAACTAAACTAGAATTGAACTAGAATTGAACTAGAACTGAACTAGAACTGAACTAGAACTGAACTAGAACTGAACTAGTACTTAACTAGAACTGAACTAGAACTGAACTAGAAGTGAACTAGTACTGAACTAGAACTGAACTAGAATTGAATTAGAACTGAACTAGAACTGAACTAGAACTGAACTAGAACTGAAGTAGAACTGAACTAGAACTGAAGTAGAACTGAACTAGAACTGAACTAGAACTTAACTAAAACTGAACTAGAACTGAACTAGAACTGAACTAGAACTGAACTAGAACTAAACTAGTACTGAACTAGAACTGAACTAGAATTGAACTATAACTGAACTGGAGCTGAGCTAGAACTGAACTAGAACAGAACTAAAGCAGAACTAGAACTGAACTAGAACTGAACTAAAACTGAATTGGAACTGAACTGGAACTAGAACTGGTTATAAATAAAATAGAACTTACCTAGAACTGAAGTAGAACAGAACTAGAACTGAAGATGTTTTCTTATAGAAAACAACAGACACATTTTCCTATAGAAAACTGTCTAAGAAAGTACAAATACCAAGTTAAAATCGCTTATTTCTTAAAAAAACGCTTGATTGTCATTCTTATTGCTATATGATGCAAGAAAATACACTTAGAAGAAGCAAAAGAATGACAGCAAGAAAAAAAGCTTTTTTTTTCTTGTTGTCAGACATATTAAAGCAGCTGTGTGTATTTTGTTTCTTTATTGTTGTCTTTTTTTTTTGTTATTGTTACTGTAGCGGAAATTTCAATTTCATTTCTTGGTCTTATAAAGATCTTATTTATTGTTGTTGTTGCTAAAGTCTGTTACTGTGTTTTAGGTTGTCTTTTAATTTGTTGTTCTAGTTGTGTTGTCTCGCAAAATGGGGTGCGGATAATTGTTTGGAATTTCTTTCCCCATTCCTCAAAACAAGAACAAAATACAAAAACTATATACTTTGTTTTTGTATTTTTTATCTTATATCCTGCTTTTTTATGTTTAGTTTTTTTATCAGTATAAATTTTATTTGTTATTCTACAGAATTTATTTCAGTTTTTTGCATTATCTTCTTTTTTTAGTATTCTCTGTAATTTTTAACTTTCTGCTTTGTTTTTTATATTCTTTCTTTTGCTGTGTATGTTTATTTATGCATGCGCTACAAAAGAAAAAATAGTTTAGTATGTCAGGCAAAAAATAAAATTGGGTAAACTTAAAAGTCTCTCTCTCTCTCTCTGTCTGTCTTTTTATTTAAACTCTCTATAGGTCTCTTTTTCTCTTTGGTAATTTGTAAAAGCACTTTTGCTTTCGCTTTCAACTGGTTTGCTTTTCATTTTCATTATCAAGTCTTATTGTTGTTGTTATTATTTGTTGTTTTTAATTGTGTGAGTTAAATAAACACTCGTATAAACATTGCGGCTAAACTTGTTGCGGCTTTTGTTTTGGTTTAGTTGAGTGACTTTTTGTTGGAGTTATTCTTTTTGTTATCTTGTTTGTTTCTTTATGAAACGTCATTAACGCATGCGCAAATGTTAAATAACTTTAGTGGCCAATGTTGCCATATTATTTTGGAAGTTTTTAAAGTTTATTTTGTTAAAATAAGCTTTTTTTTAAAGTTGTTTAATTTTATTCCTACAGTGGCGTTTAAAATAATGAGTACAAATGGCGAATATTATAAAAATAAGAGTAAATAAATGATAATTATTTAGCTATAGTTTAAGGAAAATGCTTTTCTATAGAAAACTGTTCAAGAATGACACGTTTCTATAGAACACTTATCGAGGAAGAAAGTTTCCTAAAGAAAGAAATCATCTTCCAGTTCTGTTCTAGTTCTGCTATAGCCTAAACTGTAGACTAGACTCTAATTCTGTACCAGTTCTGCTCTAGTTCTGTTCTAGTTCTGTTCTAGTTCTGTTCTAGTACTGTTCTAGTTCTGTTCTAGTTCTGTTCTAGTTCTGTTCTAGTTCTGTTCTAGTTCTGTTCTAGTTCTGTTCTAGTTCTGTTCTAGTTCTGTTCTAGTTCTGTTCTAGTTCTGTTCTAGTTCTGTTCTAGTTCTGTTCTAGTTCTGTTCTAGTTCTGTTCTAGTTCTGTTCTAGTTCTGTTCTAGTTCTGTTCTAGTTCTGTTCTAGTTCTGTTCTAGTTCTGTTCTAGTTCTGTTCTAGTTCTGTTCTAGTTCTGTTCTGATCTAGTTCTGTTCTAGTTCTGTTCTAGTTCTGTTCTAGTTTTGTTCTAGTTCTGTTCTAGTTCTGTTCTAGTTCTGTTCTAGTTCTGTTCTAGTTCTGTTCTAGTTCTCTTCTAGTTCTGTTCTAGTTCTGTTCTAGTTCTGTTCTAGTTCTGTTCTAGTTCTGTTCTAGTTCTGTTTTAGTTCTTTTCTAGTTCTGTTCTAGTTCTGTTCTAGTTCTGTTCTAGTTCTGTTCTAGTTCTGTTCTAGTTCTGTTCTAGTTCTGTTCTAGTTCTGTTCTAGTTCGTTCTAGTTCTGTTCTAGTTCTGTTCTAGTTCTGTTCTAGTTCTGTTCTAGTTCTGTTCTAGTTCTGTTCTAGTTCTGTTCTAGTTCTGTTCTAGTTCTAGTTCTGTTCTAGTTCTGTTCTGTTCTGTTCTGTTCTGTTCTAGTTCTGTTCTGTTCTGTTCTGTTCTAGTTCTGTTCTAGTTCTGTTCTAGTTCTGTTCTAGTTCTGTTCAAGTTCTGTTCTAGTTCTAGTTCTGTTCTAGTTCTGTCTAGTTTATGTTCTAGTTCTGTTCTAGTTCTGTTTCTTAGTTCTGTTCTAGTTCTGTTCTAGTTCTGTTCTAGTTCTGTTCTAGTTCTGTTCTAGTTCTGTTCTAGTTCTGTTTCTAGTTCTGTTCTAGTTCTGTTCTAGTTCTGTTCTAGTTCTGTTCTAGTTCTGTTCTAGTTCTGTTCTAGTTCTGTTCTAGTTCTGTTCTAGTTCTGTTCTAGTTCTGTTCTAGTTCTGTTCTAGTTCTGTTCTAGTTCTGTTCTAGTTCTGTTCTAGTTTCTGTTCTAGTTCTGTTCTAGTTCTGTTCTAGTTCTGTTCTAGTTCTGTTCTAGTTCTGTTCTAGTTCTGTTCTAGTTCTGTTCTAGTTCTGTTTCTAGTTCTGTTCTAGTTCTGTTCTAGTTCTGTTCTAGTTCTGTTCTAGTTCTGTTCTAGTTCTGTTCTAGTTCTGTTCTAGTTCTGTTCTAGTTCTGTTCTAGTTCTGTTCTAGTTCTGTTCTAGTTCTGTTCTAGTTCTGTTCTAGTTCTGTTCTAGTTCTGTTCTAGTTTCTGTTCTAGTTCTGTTCTAGTTCTGTTCTAGTTCTGTTCTAGTTCTGTTCTAGTTCTGTTCTAGTTCTGTTCTAGTTCTGTTCTAGTTCTGTTCTAGTTCTGTTCTAGTTCTGTTCTGTTCTAGTTCTGTTCTAGTTCTGTTCTAGTTCTGTTCTAGTTCTGTTCTAGTTCTGTTCTAGTTCTGTTCTAGTTCTGTTCTAGTTCTGTTCTAGTTCTGTTCTAGTTCTGTTTCTAGTTCTGTTCTAGTTCTGTTCTAGTTCTGTTCTAGTTCTGTTCTAGTTCTGTTCTAGTTCAGTTCTAGTTCTGTTCTAGTTCTGTTCTAGTTCTGTTCTAGTTCTGTTCTAGTTCTGTTCTAGTTCTGTTCTAGTTCTGTTCTAGTTCTGTTCTAGTTCTGTTCTAGTTCTGTTCTAGTTCTGTTCTAGTTCTGTTCTAGTTCTGTTCTAGTTCTATTCTAGTTCTGTTCTAGTTCTGTTCTGATCTAGTTCTGTTCTAGTTCTGTTCTAGTTCTGTTCTAGTTCTGTTCTAGTTCTGTTCTAGTTCTGTTCTGATCTAGTTCTGTTCTAGTTCTGTTCTAGTTCCAGAATAGGCTAGACTATAGACTAGACTATAGACTAGACTATAGACTAGACTATAGACTAAACTTTAGACTAGACTGTAGACTAGACTATAGACTAGACTGTAGACTAGACTATAGACTAGACTATAGACTAGACTATAGACTAGACTATAGACTAGACTATAGACTAGGCTATAGACAAGACTATAGACTAGACTATAGACTAGATTATAGACTAGACTATAGACTAGACTATACTAGACTAGAAGGAAAGTTCTGATTAGAAATCTGTCTAAAAACGACTGTGTTAAGAGAATTTTATTAATTTGTTTTATTCTTTCATTTTAGCTCGCCCTGCTAACGCAACATTTCCCAAGACACTAGAGTGGCTTAATATGGACGATTTTTCAGTGCCTCTATTGGCAAATAGTGCATCGTATAACCACAACAACAATAATAACAATACTAGCATTAATCACAACAATAATAATACTAACAGCAACAACAACAACAATACCAATATGCATCACCATAAAGATCACATGTTGGCAGCTGGTAGTACACCCAGTACCACTTCTTTTATGTACGAAACAACAACACCCTCCAATAACTCCAAAGGAGAAATGTCCATGGCTAAAAGTGACTATAGTACTTTTACCACATGTATACAACAATCTGCGCTACTCGATCATCGCCATTCTGCCATAGATGCTAATTTAGATGCTGGTGTTTCTTTGGGTGCTTTATGTGATTTGAAATTTTCCGGAGGCTCCAGCTCTATAATGGGAGGTGCTAATCTAATTAATGAAACAAATACAAATTTTAAAGGTTTACCACCCTTAATGGGGACTATAGAAAGTAATCATATAATGAGTGGCCTACAGAAGCTGAATACAACGGCGGGTGTTGTTAATGCACCCACGTTTTCTAATCTACTATTTGCCAGAGAAGCTACACAGAACCTTAATACAAATAATAATAACAATAATAATAATAATGTGTCCACAGCTAATAGTTCACATTATTTAACGCTGAAAGGTAATGAAGTACAAAGCACTGCCGAAACGACAACACAAACGCATCACTATTTACCAAATAATAATTTAACAGCCAGACAAATGTCACCACCGAATGAAATTCTACAAAGAGTAACAACAGCCGATAATCATAATCTATTAGATTATGGCATTGCCAGTTCATCTTCCTCTGCAGCAGCCAACACTACTACTTCATCTTCATCACTTACTTTACATCATAATCTTAATACTAATACAGAGAGGGGAGTCAATCATGGTGGCTTGGAAAGTCGTGTTAATGCTCTCAATGAAAATCATATAACTACCACAACAGCTACAACAACTAATGATACAACACCCCCAAACACTGCCAATATCAACAACAACAACAATACACATCATACAACACAACAACAGCAGCAGCAGCAGCAGCAACATGCTACAACAACAGCCACCTCTACCACGACCAGTACAAGATCAACTCTCCACAGTATTGAAGAATTAGCGGCCAGTTCCTGTACACCCTCATCCTCAACAACAGCTCCACTAAATACTCTTGTAAATAACAACAATAACAATGCAACATCATCAACAACTATAACACAAACATCAGCTACAACAGTACCTTTAATTATAAACAACAATGAAACAGCTAAGCAGCAGCAACAACAGCTTCCACGAGAAGCCACAAATTCTGCTAATAACCAGCAACAGCAACAATTGTCACAACAGCAATTGACTCTGCAACATCAACATAATCAGCAGCTTCAGCAACATCATCACCAACAGCAGCAGCAGCATCAACAACATTTGCTTAATTCTTCTACTTTGAGTAGTGATAGCAACGATTCGATTTCTTCCTCGGATGAATTTATAGATATGGAATTGAATGAAAGATCGGGTAAGTCATTGTTACTATAATTTTCTTTATTTTAACAGGGATTAATATTGGCAATATTTTGTTATTAGTAGTGAAGTAAAAATAATTAATTAAATTACAAAAATAATTAACTAAAACGACGCTATTAAAAATTTATAAAATTTAAAACGAAAAACAAATAACCAACATCACCACTATATATTTTTGATCAAATAGAAAAAAAAACAGTTTAATTAATCTTAAAGTTCATCTTTTGCTTTAAAAACTCAAAGATTATAGCAAAACTATATATCATCTGGAAACCAAATACAAAAAGCTCTGATTGTTTAAACTAAGCTCTACTACGTGCTTTAGGCTTACAAAAACTATCGTAACTGTTCTAGTTCTGTTCTAGTTCTGTTTTAGTTCTGTTCTAGTTCTGTTCTAGTTCTGTTCTGTTCTAGTTCTGTTCTAGTTCTGTTCTAGTTCTGTTCTAGTTCTGTTCTAGTTCTGTTCTAGTTCTGGTCTGGTTCTGTTCTAGTTTCTAGTTCTATTCTGGTTCTAGTTCTGTTCTAGTTCTGGTTCTGTTCTAGTTCTGTTCTAGTTCTGTTCTAGTTCTGTTCTAGTTTGTTCTAGTTCTGTTCTAGTTCTGTTCTAGGTCTGTTCTAGTTCTGTTCTAGTTCTGTGCTAGTTCTGTTCTAGTTCTGTTCTAGTTCTGTTCTAGTTCTGTTCTAGTTCTGTTCTAGTTCTGTTCTAGTTCTGTTCTAGTTCTGTTCTAGTTCTGTTCTAGTTCTGTTCTAGTTCTGTTCTAGTTTCTAGTTCTGTTCTAGTTCTGTTCTAGTTCTGTTCTGTCTAGTTCTGTTCAGTTCTGTTCTAGTTCTGTTCTAGTTCTGTTCTTTCTGTTCTAGTTCTGTTCTAGTTCTGTTCTAGTTCTGTTCTAGTTCTGTTCTAGTTCTGTTCTAGTTCTGTTCTAGTTCTGTTCTGTTCTAGTTCTGTTCTAGTTCTGTTCTAGTTCTGTTCTAGTTGTGTTCTAGTTGTGTTCTAGTTCTGTTCTAGTTCTGTTCTAGTTCTGTTCTAGTTCTGTTCTAGTTCTGTTCTAGTTCTGTTCTAGTTCTGTTCTAGTTCTGTTCTAGTTCTGTTCTAGTTCTGTTCTAGTTCTGTTCTAGTTCTGTTCTAGTTCTGTTCTAGTTCTGTTCTAGTTCTGTTCTAGTTCTGTTCTAGTTCTGTTCTAGTTCTGTTCTAGTTCTGTTCTAGTTCTGTTCTAGTTCTGTTCTAGTTCTGTTCTAGTTCTGTTCTAGTTCTGTTCTAGTGTTCTAGTTCTGTTCTAGTTCTGTTCTATTCTAGTTCTGTTCTAGTTCTGTTCTAGTTCTGTTCTAGTTCTGTTCTAGTTCTGTTCTAGTTCTGTTCTAGTTCTGTTCTAGTTCTGTTCTAGTTCTGTTCTAGTTCTGTTCTAGTTCTGTTCTAGTTCTGTTCTAGTTCTGTTCTAGTTCTGTTCTAGTTCTGTTCTGTTCTAGTGTTCTAGTTCTGTTCTAGTTCTGTTCTAGTTCTGTTCTAGTTCTGTTCTAGTTCTGTTCTAGTTCTGTTCTGTTCTAGTTCTGTTCTGTTCTAGTTCTGTTCTGTTCTAGTTCTGTTCCAGTTCTGTTCTAGTTCTGTTCTAGTTCTGTTCTAGTTCTGTTCTAGTTCTTTTCTAGGTCTTTCTGTTCTAGTTCTGTTCTAGTTCTAGTTCTAGTTCTGTTCTAGTTCTGTTTCTAGTTCGTTCTAGTTCTGTTCTAGTTCTGTTCTAGTTCTGTTCTAGTTCTGTTCTAGTTCTGTTCTAGTTCTGTTCTAGTCTGTTCTAGTTCTGTTCTAGTTCTGTTCTAGTTCTGTTCTAGTTCTGTTCTAGTTCTGTTCTAGTTCTGTTCTAGTTCTGTTCTAGTTCTGTTCTAGTTCTGTTCTAGTTCTGTTCTAGTTCTGTTCTAGTTCTGTTCTAGTTCTGTTCTAGTTCTGTTCTAGTTCTGTTCTAGTTCTGTTCTGTTCGTTCTAGTTCTGTTCTAGTTCTGTTCTAGTTAGTGGTCTAGTTCTGTTCTAGTTCTGTTCTAGTCTGTTCTAGTTCTGTTCTAGTTCTGTTCTAGTTCTAGTTTCTAGTTCTGTTCTAGTTCTGTTCTAGTTCTGTTCTAGTTCTGTTCTAGTTCTGTTCTAGTTCTGTTCTAGTTTCTAGTTCTGTTCTAGTTCTGTTCTAGTTCTGTTCTAGTTCTGTTCTAGTTCTGTTCTAGTTCTGTTCTAGTTCTGTTCTAGTTCTGTTCTAGTTCTGTTCTAGTTCTGTTCTAGTTCTGTTCTGTTCTGTTCTGTTCTGTTCTGTTCTGTTCTGTTCTGTTCTGTTCTAGTTCTGTTCTAGTTCTGTTCTGTTCTGTTCTGTTCTGTTCTGTTCTGTTCTAGTTCTAGTTCTGTTCTGTTCTAGTTCTGTTCCAGTTCTGTTCCAGTTCTGTTCTAGTTCTGTTCTAGTTCTGTTCTAGTTCTGTTCTAGTTCTGTTCTAGTTCTGTTCTAGTTCTGTTCTAGTTCTGTTCTAGTTCTGTTCTAGTTCTGTTCTAGTTCTGTTCTAGTTCTGTTCTAGTTCTGTTCTAGTTCTGTTCTAGTTCTGTTCTAGTTCTGTTCTAGTTCTTTTCTAGTTCTGTTCTGTTCTAGTTCTGTTCTAGTTCTAGTTCTGTTCTAGTTCTGTTCTAGTTCTGTTCTAGTTCTTTTCTAGTTCTGTTCTAGTTCTGTTCTAGTTCTGTTCTAGTTCTGTTCTAGGTCCGTTCTAGTTCTTTTCGAGTTTTGTTCTAATTCTTTGTAAAGTTCTGTTTTGTTTTTTAAATAATTTTCCAAGATTTATGTTCCCGTGAATAATGAATGCAATTTGCAATTCATTTAAATAATATTAAATTTCATGAATATTTTATTTTGTATTCTTCCACAAACGATAAATGTCTCCTTCAAAATTTGCATCTTTAAATAACTTAGATTTTTTTCTGTGTATTTGTGGCAAAAAACAATAAAACTAACAGACTGTAAAATAATAAACAAGATGCTTGCAACAAGTACAAACTTTAAATGCACCTAAATGACCATCAAATGTCAGTTTCAATGTCTCTCTCTATAACAGCAAACTCTACAGATTATGGAGAGTGAGAACCAAAAAGAAAATCCCTTTAAACGTCATTCACCTTGACCTAAAACATTTGAAACAAATGGAAATTTTAACTGCTGCTGCTGCTGGCCCCCAAAATCACATTTCACATTAATCTTTGTTAGAAATATGTAAAACAAGATGAGATGTTGTAACCAGAACTGCATTAAGTTTATTTTTTTGTTTTTGCTTTGGAAAAACCATTTAAAAATCTATTTAATTGAATGAATAGACAAGCGTGTTCTAATGCAATTGTTGGTGGCTGACGATGACGACTCAACGACTACTTGTTTGTGCCACCAGACAGAGAGACAGACAGATGGAGACACAAGCGATGTCTAAGTGCCGCATATTTTATTGATTGGATGGGATTTAGCGGTGTAAAATGTGGGGGTCTGTGTTCGAGTATATTTTCATCTAGTTGTTGGCCTTTAAACGCAACAACTCATAGAGACCCACTCGCACTCACACAATCTTTACTCGTTCTCACTCTCTCGCGCGCTGACATTCATCAATGTCAGTGTTGCATTAAATAGTATTAATGAAAACAAACAGAAAACGCACTGATACAGCAGCATGCAACATTTTAGCAAAAACTGTTGAGGTTTGAGGGGCAACTCGTATAGGAAAACTAAACGAAATTTGCAATTAATCTAATGCTGTTGCAGACCTTCAGTTTACATTAGCAGAGGAGCAATTTTGTTTGCGGCTAGAGAAGAAGACGCAACACACATCAAGTGTTTACGGAACCAGGGGGTGAAAGTGGTTTTTCCTTTATGCATTGGTTGTGACATTGAGTTGTTTGTTGCAAGTAGTTTGTTTTCGTTTGTAAGTAGGTGAAGGTTAAATAAATAGTTTTTCAAATACTTGTTGCACTTCAGTGAGGAGTAACAGAGAGAGAAAGATCGATTGCATTATAAAGTTGTGGAAGGGGACAATAATGTTTTAAATAACAACTGATTCTGTTTCATCTTTTTTTTCAAGTACATTTCTCGGTCGAAGTTTATGAATGAAAACCAGCTGGGAAGGTTGTCTTTGGAAGATGAGTGCAATGCTGACCTTGTTTCAGTGTTATTTAGTAACTTTTTGTTTTGGTGTACCCTTCATGGTCAAATGAACGCAAGGAATGCTCGAAATAGTTAAAGCCTTACGCTAGTTCTGTTTTAGTTTTGTTTTATTTCTGTTCTAGTTCTGTTCTAGTTCTGTTCTAGTTCTGTTCTAGTTCTGTTCTAGTTCTGTTCTAGTTCTGTTCTAGATCTTTTCTAGTTCTGTTCTAGATCTTTTCTAGTTCTGTTCTAGTTCTGTTCTAGTTCTGTTCTAGTTCTGTTCTAGATCTTTTCTAGATCTTTTCTAGTTCTGTTCTAGTTCTCCTTTAGTTCTGTTCTAGTTCTGTTCTAGTTCTCCTTTAGTTCTGTTCTAGTTCTGTTCTAGTTCTGTTCTAGTTCTGTTCTAGTTCCGTTCTAGTTCTGTTCTAGTTCTGTTCTAGTTCTGTTCTAGTTCTGTTCTAGTTCTGTTCTAGTTCTGTTCTAGTTCTGTTCTAGTTCTGTTCTAGTTCTGTTCTAGTTCTGTTCTAGTTCTGTTCTAGTTCTGTTCTAGTTCTGTTCTAGTTCTGTTCTAGTTCTGTTCTAGTTCTGTTCTAGTTCTGTTCTGTTCTCTTCTAGTTTTGTTCTCTTCTATTTCTGTTCTCTTCTAGTTCTGTTCTCTTCTAGTTCAGTTCTAGTTCTGTTCTAGTTCTGTTCTAGTTCTGTTCTAGTTCTGTTCTAGTTCTGTTCTAGTTCTGGTCTAGTTCTGTTCTAGTTCTGTTCTAGTTCTGTTCTAGTTCTGTTCTAGTTCTGTTCTAGTTCTGTTCTAGTTCTGTTCGAGTTCTGTTCTAGTTCTGTTCTAGTTCTGTTCTAGTTCTGTTCTAGTTCCGTTCTAGTTCTGTTCTAGTTCTGTTCT